GCTGATATGAACATTTGAGTTCAAGTTTTTCATGAACATATGTTTTCATTTCTCTTAAATATGTACTTAAGAGTAGAATCCTGGGTTATATGGGAACTATGTCTAACCTTTTGAAGAATGGCCAGATTGTTTTCCAAGTGGCTGTACCATGGTACACTCCTACCACCATTATATAAGAATTCTAATTCCTCCACACACACCAACAGTTGTTATCATCTGTCTTTTTGATTCTAGCTATCCGCCTGAGTGTGAAAGGGAATCTCATTGTGGTTTTGATTTGCATTTCTGTGATGGTTAATGATATTGAGCATCGTTTCATGTGATTATTGGCTATTTGTGTATCTTTGAAGAAATGTCCCTTGCTCAATTCATTATTTTTTTTATTACTGAGTTCTTTATGTATCTTAAATAGTTCTTTCTCAGATATATGATCTATAAATATTTTCTCCTGTTCAGTGGGTTGTCTTTTCACTGTGTTGATCGTAATCTTTGAAGCCCGTTTTTAATTTTGGTAAAGTCCAGTTTATCAGCTTTTTTTCTTTGGTTGCTTGTGTTTTTGGTGTCGTATCTATGAAATCATTGCCAAACCAAGGTTACTAAGACTTGTGCCTGTGCTTTCTTTTAGGAATTTGCTATTTTTAGTTCTTACATTTAGGTCTTTGATCCATTTTGAGTTAATTTTCATATATGGTATGAAGTATGGGTCCGGTTCCATACTTTTTATGTGGATATTCAGTTGTCCCAGAACTGTTCGCTGAAAAGACTAATCTTTCTTCATCAAATTATTTTGGAAGCCTTGTTGAAAATCAGTTGACCATGTATGTATGGGTTTATTTCTGGACTCTCAATTTAATTCCATTGATCTATGTCTATCCTGATGCCAGTATCACACTGTCTTGATTACTACAGCTTTCTAGTCAGCTTTGAAATCAGTTAGGTGTGACTCCTCCACCTTTGTTCTTTTTCAACACCTGTTTTTGGCTATTCTGGGTCCCTCAAATATCCATATGAAATTTAAGATCACCTTGTCAATTTCTCCAAAGATGCCAGCGGGGATTTTGATAGCAGTTTCATTGAATCTGTAGATCAGTTTGGGGACTGTTTCTATCTTAAAGGTATTAAGTCTTCTGATATATGTACATATGGATCAGCTTCTCATTTATTTAGGTCTTCTTTAATTTTTTCAACCGTGTTTTATAGTTTTCAGAGTGTAAGTTTTACACTTCTTTAAAAAAGTATGTTTTATTAAGTATTCTTTTGATATTATAACATGATTGTCTTTTTAACTTTATTTTTGGGTTGATCATTCAAGTGTATAGAAATACAAATAATTTATGTATATTGATATTTTCCTGTATAATTGCCCTTCCAGGACATCCTAATACAATGTTAGAAGTGGTGAGAGGAGACATTCTTTTCTTGTTTCTGATCTTAGGGAGAAAGCATTCAGTCTTTAACCATTAAGTGTCATAATAGTTATGGGTTGTTCATAGATATGTTTTATCAGGTTGAGAAAGTTCCCTCTATTCTTAGTTTGTTGAATGACTTTATTGTGAATAGGTGCTGAATTTCATCATACACTTTTTCTGAACCTTTTGATATGATCACGTGGCTTTTGCTCTAATTCTTTTTTTTTTTTTAAGATTTTTATTTATTTATTTGTCAGAGAGAGAGAGCACAAGCAGGGGGAGCAGAGGGAGAGGGAGAAGCAGGCTCCTCACTGAGCAAGGAGCCCGATGTGGGACTCGATCCCAGGACCCTGGGATCATGACCTGAGCCAAAGGCAGACCCTTAACGACTGAGCCACCCAGGCGTCCCAGCTTTTGCTCTAATTCTTAAAAGACATCTGTGGAGGTGGCATTTTGGGCCCCAGTGTTCTCAGGCTGCTGTGTTTGAGGTAGAGTGACCACCCTGTCAGCGAGGGGTTGGTGGAGGAGGGAATCCCTAGTGATCTCCACTGCACTTGCCAGGACTTCAGCCTACGCAGATCAGAGTTGTGAAAATGAAAAATCCTAGTGGTCTGCCCTTCCAGTGCAATACCTACTATTATGTTCTGTTTCTACTCACAGCACTTCTTACTCCAACTGTGTGAGTTTTCCACATGAGATAATTTCTCCAGTTCTCTGCAGACACCCAACTGGGTGTCCTACAATTTATTTCAGCTCTGACACAAACTACCTAGTTAGTAGATACCACAGATTAAGGGCTCAGTCCCATCTGCACTCAATTCAGATGCCAATCATAAGTAATGGGTCCCCAGGTTACCTAACTTCCATCTGACATGGCTACAAATTAGGGGTTCCCATTGCTCTCTCCTCAGGTTTAATAATTTGTTGTAATGGCTCACAGATCGAAGGGAAGTACTTTACTTACTATTACCAGTTTATTTATGAAGAATAGAAAGAAGCAGCCAGATGAAGAGGTTATATAGGGTAAGGTCCCAAAGAGTCTGCATAGAGTTTGGGGGTATTTCATACTCCTGGCACTCCAGTGATGTGTTCACTGACATGGAAACTAATCAAATCTCATTGTTCAAGAGTTTTTATAGAATTTAAGCTCCAGTGGACCCTGTAATCCCACTTTCTAGAGGTTGAAGGGTAGGGCTGGAAGTTCCAAATCCCTCATCACCAGTCCCATCCTGAGGCTATCCAGTGACCCCACCCTAAACAACCTCATTAGCATGAACTCTGATTGGATCCAAGAGCTTGTTATGAATAACAAAGGACATTCTTATGCTGTAAATTCCAAGGATTTAGAAGCTCTGTGCCAAGAATTAGGGACAAAGACCAAATATCTTTCTTATTGTGCCACAATACCATATAACTTGACTGTGAACTGGGGAAAGAGGGAGCTCTGTCTTCTTGACAATACCCTTGTGGACTGTGAAGTGGAGCTTTGGTCACACAGGGTGTGTTCCTACCTAACATTTTCATGTAAGAGCAGCTTCACAGAACTCTTGCCCTCATTCTGGAAGTGGAACTTCTGTGCAGTCCCCGCTTTGTTTTTGATGAGCATTTATAATAAATGTGATCTAGGTTTTGCCTTTACAAGCATGATTTCCCTTCACTTAACACATTCACATACTATACATTGTTTGCCTTACAATATTAGGGTATAATTTTTCCACAATTTGACTAGTGATGATATCTGTTCTATGTCCCAGAGATACTGTCTGCTAGACAGACCTTCTGACCAGAGGTCAGTTCTGGGGGTGTTTGAAAGCTGATTTTTGTGGGGAGCCCCCAGTTTAGGGTCCACATCCCAGTCCCACTTTATCATAGGCTGAAGTATCACAGCCAGTTTTAATATACTGTGGCATATTCTGAGAACCTCTTTGATTTCTGGAGGCCTAGAACTTTCTTGCTTACTGATGAACGCTATTCAGGGAAATTATCCCTTAGCTTAACCTAATTTTCCTGTTTGGTCCACTGCTTCCATTATTTTGCTTCTTACCGAAATAAAAACTGTTTTAGATTATTTAAAATCAACTAGAATTTGAAGGGTAGCCTCACTTGGGAAGGTTCCTAAGAGCTGACTGAAATCCTGTTCTAGTGAAGGTGAAAGATTTTTTTTTTTTTCCTCATCCCTGATTTAAATATCTAAATAATAAAGATGGTGAGGTTAGAGTCTGTGAAAAAGAGTTGCTTCAATTAAATTTCCTAGTCTTTTAAATGTGGGCAAAAACTGACTTTATCTCCCTCATACTACATAGAATATCTCTACATGATTAGCTGGACCCTTGGGGATATGCATTTTTAGGAACCAAACCTAGGAATTTTATCCTTTTTTTTAAAAAAAATTATTATTATTTTTTATTTTAAAATTCTTTATTTAAATTCACTGTAGTTAACATCACCCAGTTACCCCATCCCTACACCCACCTCCCCTCCAGCAATCCTCAGTTTGTTTCCTAGAGTTCAGCATCTCTTATAGTTTGCCTCTCTCTATTTTCATCTTATTTTTCCTTCCCTTTCCTTATGTTCAACTGTTTTGTTTCTTGAATTCCACATATGAGTGAAATCATATGGTATTTGTCTTTCTCTGACTGATTTATTTTGCTTAGCATAATACCCTTTAGTTCCATCCACATCATTGCAAATGGCAAGATTTCATTCTTTTTTTTTTTTTTTTTAAAGATTTTATTTATTTATTTGACAGAGAGAGAGAGAGCTAGAGAGGGAACACAAGCAGGGGGAGTGGGAGAGGGAGAAGCAGGCTTCCTGCCGAGCAGGGAGCCCGATGCGGGGCTCGATCCCAGGACCCTGGAATCATGACCTGAGCCGAAGGCAGGCGCCCAACCGACTGAGCCACGCAGGCGCCCCAACAAGATTTCATTCTTTTTGATGTCTTTTTTTTGAAGAAAAAAATCTCTGAATTCAAACTCCCTTTTGTGACAAGTCTGTAGTGTTCTATTCTGGGGTACTTTTTACTTTAAAAATGCTTAAAAATGTACTAGACTGCCTTATATATCACATTAGGGAGCTAATTGTATTATGATTGCAAGTTCAGTAGGCCAAACTTTTCCATAGTATTGCCTTTCCAAAGATGATAGAGAATATCAAATATTTTATAAAAATCCAAGAAAATCATGGCTTAATTTCTGTACCAACTTTTAACTAATATAAATCATTATCAAATTAAAATATTATGGGTACTTTTTTATTTTGCTTAAATTTGTTATTGTTTATATTTGTTCAGCTTATCTTGACTTTTCCCTCATGTTTTGAAATGTTACTGTTTTCTAGATTTTTATTTATTTTATTTATTTATTTTTATTTTTTTAAAAGATTTTATTAGAGAGAATGAGAGAGAGCATGAGAGCGGGGAGGGTCTGAGGGAGAAGCAGACTCCCTGCTGAGCAGGGAGCCAGATGCGGGACTCGATCCCAGGACTCCAGGATCATGACCTGAGCCGAAGGCAGTCGCTTAACCAACTGAGCCACCCAGGCGCCCCTGTTTTCTAGATTTTTAAAAAACAAGATATATAAATGTCTTTTTTAGACTAAACTTCAGTGGCTCTGTGAGGAACTGAAAGAGAGAGAAAACCGAGAAAAAAATCTGCGGCACCAGCTGATACTGTGCAGACAACAGCTGAGGAACATGATGGAAAACAAGGAATCTGAGCTCCAGTGTCTCTTTGAACAGATAGAAAGACAAGAGCAGCTTCTGGAAGAAATACACCAGGAGAAAAGAGGTGTGTTAACTCTTTGTACTCTTATTTTTCTTTGTTTGTATTTATGGAATCCTAGGATTTGAAAGAAAAACCTATTTCTCTTGTCTCTACTTTGGATTATTTCTGAATCCCTCTCCTTTCCTGTCTCTCATCTCCCTATCTTTCTTCATTTCTGGGTCCAGAAGAGAAAACTGTTTGCCCTGAGAGTTTTTCCTTCAGCTTGTGCATCTCTCCTGGGTAGATAGCACTGTGTCTGTTGCCATTTGCAAGTATTAATGTGTTCAGATGTTTGTGCTTCCCTGATAAAATGCTGAAGTTTATATTTTACTTCAGGAGAATATTCATTAATTTATTCAATAAATATTTACTCTGTGCCTATTTTGTCTTGGGCACTATTAAAAGTGCTGAGGCTACATCATGAATAAAGCAAAAAAAAAAAAATCCTCTTATTTATCTTACATTGTATAGAGTGGAGTGACAGAAAATAAATATAATGCATAGGTAAATTGTTTAATATATTAGAAAATTATAAGCACAATTGTGCAAACAGTAGAGTAAGAGGAGTATGGGAGAGCAGGGGGCAGGGATTAATATGTTAAATATGTAGGCAGTACTTTAAAAGTTAGACAAGAACTTTGGAAAACTGCTTTTCTTTTTGGTTCTACTAGGGAAACATCATGATGGGAAGAAGAAAAACAGCATTATGTATGGAAATCCTGTGTTTCTTGTGTTGGCCTTAGGTCTTTTCTTTATTGGTGAACTTTATTAATTTAAGAACCAGAAAGAGGCTTAATATAGTGTCCCACTAAGAAAAACAAAACATCAACATATGATAGCTACCTAAAAATTTTTTTGGTTTTTCATTTTAGTTATCAGGATTATTCCTTCTACAGGTACCAATTAAAAATTATTTTTGCTATATGCAGTGATTCTCAGTTTTTTTTTTTTGGTATCAGGACCACTTTACATTTGTAACATTTTTGAGAACTCAAAGAGCTTTAATCAATGTATGTTATATGCATTAATATCTACCGTATTAAAAATTAAATCTGAGCATTTAAAAATATTCATTCCTTTAAAATAATAATTATAAACATATTACATTATTAACATAAAAATTAATGACCTTTAACTACTTTCAATACAAAAATATTGATGATGGCATTGTTTTGCACTTTTGTAAATCTCTTTCATTGCTGTCTTAAAAGAAGACAGCTGCATTTTTGTGTTTGCATCTGTATTCTGTTGTTATATTCCATGTCTAAGCTCTGGAAAAACTGAACTGTATTTATGAGAACTTGAGTGTGAAAGAGGCAAGTAATATCTTCATATTATTAATAAGAGGTCTTGGATGATCCCCAAACCATCCATTGCAAACTGCTGCTATAGTGCAATTGAAAAATGTGCTAGTAGGAAAAGTCAGAGGATGCCAATATAGATAGATAGATAGATAATAGATAGATATAGATAGATATAAATACATTTATATATTTTTAAGGACAGTACAATAGAATCTAATTATGAACTTTATAGATTAAAACATTGTATGATCTCTGTACATGTTATAGACTATTTACAAACACTAGATTGCAACCTGGTTTTTCTTTTAGTAAATATTATCACCCAGTAAATTCTTTTTTTTTGTATAAGGATTAATGCAATAGTATATTATAAATACCTATAACCCTTAGGGGGACAAATCCAAAAGGAAAGAATCAAATATTTGTGCACTGAAATAATTATGTTTAAATGCCCAGCTTTTTCATAAAAGCCTCAGAAGATAAGTTACAAAGGTTATAATTTCTCAAGGTGATTCTTTTATTTCTACTATGCAAATTTAATAAAAATTTATTGCTTATTTTGTATCCACAGAGCACTTGAATTCCTTTATGCATGTTAGAATCAGCTTGTCAGTTTTGTTTTGTTTTTTTAAAGACTCTACTAGTGTTTTGGGGCACCTGGGTCGCTCAGTCTTAAGAGTCTGCCTTCAGCGCAGGTCATGATCCCAGGCTCCTGGGATGGAGCCCTGCTTCGGGCTCCCTGCTCTGCGGGAAGCCTGCTTCTCCCTCTTCCTCTTCCCCTGCTTGTGTTCCCTCTCTCCCTGTCTCTCTCTCTCAAATAAATAAATAATCTTTAAAAGAATCTACTAGTGTTTTAGTAAGACTGTTAAATGTAACATTTAAGAATGGGTATCTTGATATTGAATATTCCAATCCATGAACATGGTATATCTATACATTTATTTAGGTTTTTAACTTTTTTTCATGGATATTTTGTACTTTTCAGCAGACAGGCCTTAAACATTTTTTTCAGATTTATTCCTAATTTTTTCTGATTTATGGTGTTACATTAAATGATATTTTAAAAACTTGAATTTCTGACATTCTTTTCTAGTATATAGAAATATAATTGATTTTTTTGTGTGTATTAACCTTATATTCTTTAACTGTGTTAAGCTCATTTATTAGTTGTAGTAGCTGTTTGTTTTTGTCATCATTGTTTTTGATTTCTTAGCACTTCGGGTTTTCTTTATACATAATCATTTCATCTACAAATAAAGACAGTTTTTGCTTCTCCTGGTGGGTTTTTTTCTTTTTTCTTTCTTTCTTTTTTTCTTTCTTTGTCTTAACTGGATGGGACCTCCAGTACATATTAAACTAACCTTATATTCCTGGGATCAACTCTACTTTGTCAAAATGTATTTTCCCATTTACATATGGCTGGATTTGATTTAGTAATAGTTAAGATTTTTTGCATCTGTGTTCATGAGGAATATTGTTCTGTAGCTTCTTGTAATGTCTTTATCTGATTTGAATGTTAATATAACAGTGACCTCTTAAAATAAGTTATGTTTCCCTTTTACTTTTGGAAACATTTATATAAAGTGTGTATTATTTCTTTTAAGTGCATGATAGAATTCATGAATGAAGCTTCCTGGGCCTGTAGTTTTTTGGGTAAGGCTTTAAATTTCAAACTCAAGGGGCGCCTGGGTGGCTCAGTCGTTAAGTGTCTGCCTTCGGCTCACGTCATGATCCCAGGGTCCTGGGATCGAGTCCCACATCGGGCTCCCTGCTCTGCGGGAAGCCTGCTTCTCCCTCTCCCACTCCCCCTGCTTGTGTTCCTGCTCTCGCTGTGTCTCTCTGTCAAATAAATAAATAAAATCTTAAAAAAAAAAAAGTAAATTTCAAACTCAAATTCTTAATAGCTATATGGCTATTCAGAATTTCTCCTTCTTTTTAAAAAGATTTTATTTATTTATTTGAGAGAGACAATGACAGAGAGAGAGCACATGAGAGGGGGGAGGGTCAGAGGGAGAAGCAGACTCCCCGCTGAGCAAGGGAGTCCGACGTGGGACTCGATCCTGGGACTCCAGGATCATGACCTGAGCTGAAGGCAGTCGCTTAACCAACTGAGCCACCCAGGCGCCCTGAATTTCTCCTTCTTCTTGAGTCAGTTTTATTAATTGTGCCTTTCAACATATTTGCTCATTTCATCTAAATTGTCAAATTTGTTGACTTAAAATTTCTCATAATATCCCCTTTTAAATTCTTTTAATTTCTGTAAGATCTGTACTGATGCTTCCTATTATATTCCTAATATTGGTAATTTTCTTTTATCCTTTATAAGTCTTGTTGAGGGTTTTAATTTTATTAATATTTTCAAAGAAACAACCTTTGAATTTAATTGTTTTTCTATTTGTCTTTTTAATGTTGATCTCTACTTTTTAATTACCCTTCTTTTATTTACTTTGTGTATCATTTGCTTTTTTCTCTGGATTCTTAAGTCAGAAGCCTTATTTTAATAACTTTCTTAATATTGTCATTAAAGTTCTAAATTTCTATCTTAGCAATACTTGAAATGTATTCCACAAATGTTTCAGTGTCATGTTTTCATTATCATTTAGTTTGAATGAGAAAATATTTCCCTTGTGATTTCTTCTTTGACCTGTGGGTATTTTAGAAGAATACTACTTAGTTTCCAATTATGTGGAGAGTTTTCTGCATATTTTATTACTGATTTCTAACTTAATACCCTGTGGTCATAGAATATACTCTCCATATTTTCGATCCTTTGAAATTTACCAGGACTTGTTTTATGGCCCCAAATGTGATCTGTCCTAGTGAATTTTCCATGTGTACTTTAAAGCAAGTTATGTTATGATTTTATTATGAAATATTTTATAAATATCAGTTATGTCAAATTCTTTCATAATGTTTTCTGTCCCTGGTGATTTCTGTATCCCTACTGATTTTGTCTACTTCTATCAATAACTGATAGAAGACGGTTACAATATCCAGCTATTTACTTTGATTGTGTACATATGTGTCATTTTTTTTTTTAGCTTTATATATTTTGAGGCTGTTATTAGATCTATTTTAGTTAGTATTGATTGTGTAAATGTGTCTACTAGGAGCCTATTGTAATAGTCTCAATAAAAGCAAAAGAAGTTGGGTATGGGTAGTGGCAACAAATGCAAAAGGTATTACGGAGGAATTAGTGCAAGATGGGGCAGTGTAGGTGATAGAACACATATAGGAGAATCTAAGTTCTCAGTGGTTTTGCCACTGGGAGAAATAAGGAAGTTGGGAAGTAGGGGCTGATTTGATGGCAGAGAAAGAGGGATCCTATTTTTTACCTATTCCTTAAAGTCATAAATGAAAAAAAGTTTTTGTTAACAAAGAAATGATATGGTAGTCTCTTGCCTTATGTATGTAAGATGTATTAGGAGTGTCTGTGATTCAGAAATAGTGTGGACTTAATATGAATAATGAAAACTAAGCAAAGGCTGTTACAGTTGGAGACATATAAACATATTTATTAGGAGGTAGGGTGAAATAAATATGTTACTAGAAATACAAGCAACATATTCTGGTGAAAATGGGAGTATTGATTACTTGGGTAGAGGCCCATATGGGGAGGTTATTTGTAGGGCATGTTCTTTGATTTAGACCTTGAAGAATGTAACAGGATTTCTATAAGAGAGAAGAGGAAGAAAGATTCTTTGCAGGATTTATCTGCAT